CATTCAGTCAGATGTCACAAGCAATTTTTTTTACTGAATTTATTGTAAGAATGTTCAATAAACAGTCCAAACTGATACGTAACATGTTTAACATGAGGTATCTGAACCATGATGGAGGGATTTACAGTTAAATGGTGGAAACAAAACCTGTTGCACACTGCTGCCAACTAGCGGGTGGTGATTGAATTGCACAAAACGAAAAGAAAATACACAAAAGTTTACAAGTAAATTCTTTCAAGAATTAGATACACGACTTTTGAATATCGATGTAATAATCGCAGGAAAAAATATCACGATATATTGCCATATCGATATTTCCGATACATGGCTTTTGAATATCGATATAATATTGCTGGGGAAAATATCACAATATATTGCCATATCGATATTTCCAATACATAGCTTTTGAATATCGATGTAATAATCGCAGGAAAAAATATCACGATATATTGCCATATCGATATTTCCGATACATGGCTTTTGAATATCGATATAGTATTGCTGGGAAAAATATCACAATATATTGCCATATCGATATTTCCGATACATAGCTTTTGAATATCGATGTAATAATCGCAGGAAAAAAATCACGATATATTGCCATATCGATATTTTCTTACATCCCTAGTATGTAGATTTATCTCGACTACACGTTTTGTTGCAGCACTGAAGCAGCAGAAAAATGAGATGTTGCAATAAATATACAAAACATTTACATATGAATTGTTTTAGACCCATCTTGTTTGGCAGAATCTGATATTAGTTTTAGCTATAAGCTAGACGATCTGACAGAACACCGGGAAAAAATGGGTCCCAACGTGGTTTGTGTGGCGTTGCCATACTGTGACGTCATCGATATCGATAGGCACAGATCCCCTGTCCTCCTTTATGACAGTGGAAATGCGATCCCCCTAGTTTAAAATCCAGGGGTTGGTAGGTTGTTGTAAAGCTGCCATCATATTAATCAAAAGTGTTAATTCTGAAAAAATGTGGTTGAGAACCCTTTCCTGGAATGTTGTCTGCAAGAATTCCAGATTTCCCGAAAACTGCGGCATTTATCTATGATCAAAGAATGTTCTAGAAAACTAAAGATCACTTTTAGCGTCACCTGAATGTTTTGCAGCACCACCCCCCGTTGGCCACAATACTTTGAGGCACACTCTTCTATCAATGTGCTGCTTTCTGATTCCAGTATTGTGATAAGAGATGAGACATGGTCCCATTAAAGACACGTCCAAGATAGAAGACGCTGGAAGATCTGTGGCTTTGAAGACTGACTCTTACCATCAGATTCAGTATGATGTAAAACTGTCAGGCTTTTGTAATGCGTCTCAATGGTGCTATTGAAAACTCTCCGAAGTCCCTGAAAATGTGTTTGGTTCTTAGTGAATGGACTTTTTTTAAAATAGGCTTCTACATCGATCCGATTGTTTATTATCCTAAATGATAAACGCAGGCGCCGTGTCATTAATGGAGGCAAGACTAATTACAACAGTTGGGCCTGAGCACGCACTTCAGGCTGCGTCTGTGATGTCATTCAGGGCTTTAAAAGACAGAGTGGAGAGTTTGTATTAGTACTTGGATGCAGGAACTTTAAGTTGTGGTTTTCAAAATCTAAAAGTATGCAGCAGGAGCTCAGTTGGCAGAGTGAGTTGTTCAGTAAACAGAGGGTTGTAAAATCGATCCCGGCTCCCGCCAGGGAATGCTGCTTTTGTGCCCTTGAGCAACACATCTAACCCACTTTGCCTGCTGGTGGTGGTCAGAGGGACTGGTGGCACCTGTGTTTGGCAGCTCATCAGCAGCAGCGTGTGAATGTGTGCTTGCGTGGGTGAATGACTGATCGTGTTGTAAAGAGCCTTGGGGGGATGTGGAACCCTAGAAGACACTAAAATACAGGCCATTTACCAGCTAGGCTGTAAAGATGTCTGCGTATTAAGTTGGTTTTCTATACCTGCTTGATCCTGGGGTCTGTAAGCAGAGACGGGGTACACAGGTTAGTCTACACTAATATTCTAATTCAAGACGCACTGTAAAAAACTGCACATCTCCTGAAACCGCCCAAGCCCCAAGTCTGGTAGCACTGTGAGTAAGTGGTTTGAATGGCAGTAAACCACCAAATAAAGATGAGTACGTTTACATGCAGCCAATATCCGGGTTATGATCGGGTTAAGGTCGGTATTCGGGTTTCTGAGTTGATCAGAATAACCCGTTTACAAGCATAAATAGAAAGAGTTACCCCTAACTTGCATAACCCGATTTAAATGCGGACGTTGGGGTAGCGTCAGGACGTATGGACTACGTCCAGAAGCAATATGCGTCATTTCCGGTTCTTCTTGTTCCGGTATCCGTGAAAACAACAACATGTTTCCCAGTTCGGAAGAGATAGCGACCGCGTTTGTTTGCGCTTTAGTTTCCTCGTCACTCCAAAGTGTGGTGCTGTGCCGTGACTCGCCATGTTGCTCCCAACTTGTTGATTACTTCCGGTGTTCTGGCGCATACA